TTCCGCAACTTTTGGCGACTAAATTTTTTTTAGTCACTAATTTTGGTCGCCAAAGGTGCATTTTGTTGTAGTGTTATTACACTACAAAAAATTAAGGCTTTAGAGACTAAAATTCAGGGACAATTGGTTTTAGAGGACGAAATATTTTTATTCCGAAAAGTATCGTATTAAAATTTTCAAAATTTCATCGCTTGTTTTTTTTACTTTTCGTGGCTACTTTTTAGCGATTATCCTCACGGCGATAAAAATTAGTCTCTAAATATTTTTTGCAACAAATTTTCATTTCTAGAAATCAAAAAAATTAATCTCTAAAACTCTTATATGTTGTAGTGTCAGATGGTGAAAATATCATAAAATTAACAAATAATTAAATAAGTTATCAACTTAAGAAATGGCATATCAAAAGATTATTAGGATATGTTTGGTTTGATTTTTAGAAATTTATTTTAAAAAAATTAAAAATTAATTTGGTTAAGAAATAAGAAATAAGAAATAATTATTATTTTTATATAATTTTATCTTTTGAGTGGTTAGAAATAATTCTTACAAATTAAATGTATTTTTTTATATTTATTTTTATTAAATTATTATTATTATTTTTTTATTATTTTAATTATAATTTTATTTTTCTAAGCAACAAACCAGACATGATTCCAAAAACTTTTTTTTTTTTCATCTAACGTAATTATTTTGTAAATTTTTGTTGATTTATTAAAAGGATTTCAACTTAAATTAAGTTGTTTGGTGCTTTGGAAAGGTATCAGGAGCAATACCGTCTATCAATTTATATTTTCCTGATGCCAATTAATCATTTTTAACATTTAGGGGTTGTTTGGGGTGTCCTAATAAGTGCATTTTTTTTTATCTTTTTGGACTAAAAAGTTGAGGGAAAAAAGATGGAGGTTTGGGTTAACTTTTTGATTTTTTATGGAAAAATGTGTATTAAAAAATTATATAAATTAGTGTGTAGGGGAAAATTAGGATTGAGAGTTGTGCAGCCGTACTTTTTGACTTTTGGTGAATAGTGATAACTTTTTAACTTTTTGAGTAACTTTTTTACTTTTTGGCTTTTTTTTAACTTGCCAAACTTGGCCTTAGTTAACAACAGGGTTTAAATTATTATGCGAATATAAACCACCGCCTGGTGCGAGAGGAGATGTAATTTCTAAAACCTCAAGGGAAAACTGCAATTTAGCTAAATCACAAGAGATGTAGATAATTTACCTTTTTGGTTTTTTGATAGGAGCAGTAGGCTAACTTAAAAATATAAAAATAAATAGACCATTGTTATTAACACTTAAAAATTAGATTCATTTTCTATATCTAGTTTGGATCCAAAAAAAATTCTACATTCAGTGATTTGTTAACAAAATAATTAGTTAATAATTAAATATTTTCTAATTATCAACTAATCATCCCCTTAACAAGTCATTAGATATCTAAAGTAGGTCTAAAAAGTGACCTTATTATATCATTTCCAAGGGGTAAATTACAAATACATCTCTTAAGATTTGCTTAAAGTACAAATTATTTCTGTGGTTTGAAAAATTACAAATGCCCCCTTATTAGAGTTTTTTATTTAAGAGAATTAACTAAAAAAATAAAGTTCATAATTGTTCTCCTATAGAATAATAAAATTATCTAAATTATTAATTGAAATATATTTCTAACATCATTAAAAACTGTTAATTAACTTGATGATTTATTAATAAAAGAGGCAATTTGCTATAAAATTAGAAATCTTATGGGTGAAATGTAATTTCCAGAACCACAAAAGATGATTTGTATTTTAATCAAATCTCAGAAAGTATATTTGTAATTTACCCTTTTCCAAATAAATAGATACGTTTTGACAAAATAAAATTTAAGATAGGTTTGAAGAAAGGGTTGTTTGACAATAAATTAAGGTAAAAAGTTTTTTTTAAAAAATAATTTTTCTAGTTTTTTTTGTACTTTTTTAATGTAAAAAAATTATTCTCAAATCTGATGTTTAAACCCATGAACTGGAACGGATCCTACCTTTCAAGGAAGGCGAATATATCCATCATGAGTGCAGAAAATTTTATAGATGGGATCATATAAAAAATTTAAGCTTCACAAATATTATTTTAAAAATATTATGACTAATTAACATTTGATCTTCTCCACTTTCAAGTACAATAAATTTTTGATAAAATATTATCGTCTTAACAAAAAATATATATATCTATAAATTTTACAATTCATATTCAACGATGTGTTATTTTTTTGAATTATTACATGATAATTTTATTATCTATAGTGTCAAATATATCTTTTATAAATATATATACATAATCAAGCAACTATTCAATTATTAATTTTTTATTTGATTCGAATATTGAGAAGAGAAACATAATTGTGAAGGAGTAGGTTCGTAATGAATTTTGACTTCTATTGGATGAGTCTCTTATTATTTTTAATGAGATCAATTATTAATCAAATAAAATGTTTATCACAAAAAAAAAAATTTAAATTAAAAATTCTAAGCTTTTTGATAGGGTGATTGGTGGATGAACCTGGTTTAAACAAGTTATTATTATATCAGAAATCAAATACAATAATTTAAAAAATGTAAATTAATAATGTTATACATACTTTTGTCATAAAAATATTGATTATTTAAGTAAAATGTAAAACATAAATATGCTGTTCTCGACCTTATGATATTTAAAAATTGATGCCCACGTTTTTACTGCTGCATCTCCTATTGATGACTTACATCATGGGAAGTGTGGAATGTAAGGTACATATCATGTGTAACTTTTGTATATTTGTAAGAATTTATGTGATTTTATAAGATAACTAACGTTATTTATGAGATTTAATGCAAATACATATGATATATACTTGCACACTTAAAAATTGTCCATCATAGAAAGGTGTTTCATCAAATCAGCTAATTTATTCAAAATAACTTGGTGGTAGATTGGTTAAAAGTAGCTTTTTGACTTTTAACCAAGCTTTTGGCCTTTTTAGACAAGTGATTTGAGAAGTTGGTAAAAAATTACTTTTGACTTTTTTGATTAATATTTGTTTATGTTGTCAAATCATAATAAAATGACCAAACTACCCCTATTTAATTTAAAATATTTACAACTTCCATGTAGCACACTTTGACCCATAAAGAGTAGAATTGTAATTTCACCAGTGACTGAAAACCAACTTTTCAAAAATCCTCTAGAACTGTGGTCCACTTGTTTGTAAACAAAAATCTCTTATTGCTTGGAAAAACATTGTAGCAAGATAAGTAAGTTTTCACAGTTCTCAATATAGAAACACACTCATGTACATTAGTGTTACTTTAGTTTAAAATTAAGATTTTGTAATTTTTAACTTCTTTTTTTTCTTCTGTACTTTTAAAAAATTTGTGAGGCTGAGGGGTTGGTTGGGGAGATGTAAGCTACAGTAGTAAGGGAGTTAACACTCTCTGAATCTCTCTTGGGGCATTTCTGTTCCTTGTACCTATAATTTCATATTTTTAATGAAATTTTTACTTTGCCGATTAAAAAAAAAAGAAAATGTTTAATGATATGACAGCCTATTACAAAATTTAAGACAACTCATTCTCTGATGTTTTCTGTAATCATCAATCACTCATCTCTTTTATACATTATAGAGTTTTAAAAATAAGTTTAGAAAGTAAGTTTTTGTTTCATTTTTCAAAGGTGTATATACACTCTGATTATGAAGTTTTGTGATTTTGATAGTGAATAATACTATACTTAGTTATGCAACTTTATGGTGATAAAATTTAAATGAATTTAATTGTGAGACTTTGTGATGTATTTCACGTGTATAGAATTTATGTTTAAATGATGTGATTTAAATTGGTAGAGGTTATCAACCATTGTAGTAGGTGTTAGATCAATAAAATTTTATTTTTTCCATAAGGAAAATAATAACACCTTTCATTTCTCTCTTTTCTTGTTTTTGGTTTGAATGATAAGGAAGCCAACAAGATGAAAGAGGCAGAACATAAGCCTGCTGAATGGATACTTAGGATTAACAATTCGCTAGCTGGAGTGGAAAAGCTATCGAAGATGAGTATATATAAAGTTCCAAATAAACTTGTAAAAATCAAGGAAGATGCCTATACACCCAATATTGTCTCCATCGGACCATTTCATCGTCATGACAAAGAGTTGCAAGCTTTTTTTTTTTTGATCGGCAAAAAACTTTTATTGATGAAACAAAGAACTTATTATATCAAAAAAGAAAAGCGAAAGATGGGTGCAAAAAGCATCATAGTGAGACATATCAATCCCAACTAGGTTGGCACCAATATGACCACCCAATCCCTTGCTAGCACACCATCAAGAGTTGGTGAGAAACCAACCGAAGCCAAAAAAGAGAAGCACAAAGCAAAACAAAACACCACCAGAACACACTCAGCAGTAGCCCACCAAGTTTACCACTGAGTTCAACACCATGACACAAACACCAAGAAGCAGAACAAACCAAACCACTAGCAGCAGCAACTATCATCATCCCAATACCAAAGTAGCTCTGCAGCATCCCACCACTCAGTAGCAACTAGCATCAGTCCAAAACCAAGAGAGCACTACATCAGTCGCATCATCCCACCAAACAGCAGCACCTATCATCAACTTGCTGCCAATGAGATGGTTCTAAGCCCATTAAACAAACTCCAGCAGAAGCAACAAAACAAGATCATCCTAACATGCTGCCAATATAATGGAACTGAACCCAGAAAGCCAACTATAGCATTATTAATACACAAAGGAACACCCAACCAAACCAGCAAGACAGCAGCAACACCAACACCTCCAGAAACACCTCATAATCTCAGCACACACCATCGAACCTCTACAGCCTGAAACATAGCAGCTCACCAAAATAGAACATGTGCCAACAACTGGACACAAACCAAACAGAGCTCCCCAGCACCACCACCTCAGAGGCAACTACGGATCAGACCCAAATTGGAGAGAGAGAGCGCAACGCCCAAAATATGTCACCTAAACTCCATATGTAATCTGTTGTAGGTTAGACATGAAATCCTGCACTGTGTAGGAGCAACCCATGGTGTGAGCTGTCACCCAAAAAATGATTCTCAACTTAATTAATTCACAAATCTCTCCCAACACAGCTTCCTGTCCATTGAACACAACTTCATTTCTAAACCTCCAGATAGACCACATAATTGCCAAAGGCATTGCTCTCCATATTTTGTTCTCAAGCGTCCTCCATTTAAATCCACTCCACCAAAGAAAAAGACTCTCCACTGTAGCAGGTACAATCCATTGCAGCCCCTAACAATTCAATAGATCAGACTAGATTTGCCAAACAAAGGGGCACCAAAGCATGACATGAGATACTGTTTCCACATGAGACCGACAGAACACACAATTCACCAGAACATTATGACCCAAAACACCAATTCTATTAAGGAACACTAAAGTCTTCAACTTCCGCTTCCAGGACAACCACCCGAGGAACTGAACTTTTTGGGGAGAGACATTAGACCACAACATTTTTGATACCCCCATAGAACCAGAAGACAGTAGCAGATGATAAAGAGATGAGCAGCTACACTGACCTGATGAGCATGACAATCATTTCCACTGATCTAACTTATTATAGGTTCGAATCAGAGACTGGTTCAACATGGTGTATAATCTGTCCAACTCCTCAGCCTCCCAGGCAAATAAAGCTCTACGAAAATTAAGGTTCCAACCTCTGAAGTAGCCATTTCTTTCAACCAACAACTTCAGAGAGATGTCCTTTTCATTTGACAAACTGAATAGTCTGGAGAAGTTATATTTTAAACATTGAGTCCCAAGCCACTGATCCAACCAGAAACTCACTCTGGCCCCATCCCCAACCACAATTTGAGTGTTTTCCAGAAAAAGTTTCCGAAGATTTGGATTTGATTGGGATATACTAAGCATACCCCCCCATACTACTGAAAAATTAATTGTAGCAGTAAAATTAGGCAGCCACCTCCCACCAGTTGGTTGATACCTACTGCAAATAACTTTCTTCCAAAGTTTATTGTCCTCAACACCATACCTCCACCACTATTTAGCCAACAAACAATCATTCACCTCGTGTATTTTCCTAAGCCCACCTTGATCTTTACTTTTAGACACCTCAGCCCATTTAACCAAGTGAATCTTCTTTTTCAAATCAGATCCACCCCACAAAAAAGATGCTTGCAACCCTTCAACTACTTTAACCACATAAGTAGGCATCTTAAAGATAGAAAGATAATAAATGGGGAGACAAGACAAGACTGATTTAATAAGAGTTAGCCGCCTCCCGAATGATAGTAGCTTTCTCTTCCAGGATGCCAATTTGGCTCTAACCTTATCAACAACTAGTCTCCAAGTTTTTCTCAATCTTGGATTGGCACCCAAAGGCAAACCAAGGTATGGAAAGGGCAGGCGTTTGCTTTTGCAATGAAGTCTGTTAACAAACTCCTCAACCAGCTGATCAGGCACACCAATTCCACTCACAAGACTTTTGGAGAAATTAATCTTCAGACCAAAAACTAACTGGAAACATCTCAAAATTCATTTTATTGTCAAAACTTGCTCCCAAACCACCTCACAAAAAATTATAGTGTCGTCTGCGAATTGAAGATGTGATATAGTTTATATTGAATCAAAGTGGCCTATAACAACCCCCTTGATAAGAACACTTGACAAAGCCCTTTGCAATAAAACGTTCAACTCCTCAGCAACAACATTGAAAAGGAAGAATGACAAGGGGTCCCCTTGCCTGAGACCTTTCTCAAGGACAAATTCAGCCGTTGGAGAGCCATTCACCAAAACCGAAATTCGAGAAGAATGCAAGCATTCCTTAATCCACTTTCTCCACTGAGCCCCAAAACCGAACACCGTTAACATAGACATAAGGCACTCCCAATTAACTGAATCAAACACTTTTTTGAAATCCAGCTTGAGAATCAAACCTTTTGCCCTATTATTCTTCCACCAAGCGACGACTTCATTTGCAATTAAAACCCCATCCATAATGTTTCTACCCCCAAGGAAAGCAGATTGAGCCTCCCCAATCACTCTAGGAACCATTAGCTTCAGCCTACTTGTCAAGACTTTAGCAAGGATTTTGTATAAAGATCCTATCAAGCTAATTGGCCTATAATCTGAAATAGTAGCTGGGCCATCAACTTTTGGGATCAGTATAATGAAAGAGCTATTAACCCCACCAGCCAACTTCTCATTGTCATAGAATTCCTTAAAAAATTGTAGAACATCAGCTTTAAAAATCTACAAACATTTTTTGAAACACATCAAATTAAGCCCATTTGACCCAGGGGCCTTATTTCCATCACAACTTTTAATAGTTACCCACACTTCCTCTTCAGAAAACTCTGCTTCAAGACCATCAATAGCCCCATCATGACCAATAGAGTTGAAATACCCTAACAACTTTGGCCTGCTTGACCAATCTTTAGAGAATACCTTCTTAAAATGCAGGAATATTTCTTGTTTCACTCTACTTGGTTCCTCATGGAGCACCCCTCCCACTAAAATTGAACTCAACAAATTTCTGTTTTGCCTCTTTAATGCCACTACATGAAAGAATCTTGTATTCTTATCACCCTTCATACACCAATCCAATCTGGATTTTTGTAGCCATATCCATTCAATCATCTTATTTAAGGCCCACACTTCATTTCTAAGGTCTCTCCTGCAGCCAACCTCAGAGTCATCAAGGTCCCTGGATTCGGCTAACAGGTCAAGACTATGAAGCTTCTCCTCTGCTGTCTTGAGAGCAAGATGGACATTTCCAAAAACCTCTGCATTCTATCTTTTTAAGGCCAATCTAAGGATCCTGATTTTAGCTTGGATCACAAAACCAGCCCAACCTGATATACCAACCTCCTCCCAGGACTTCTTCACCATTGATTGAAACTGCTGATGCAAAGTCCAAACATTCAAAAAACGAAATGGTCTTGGACACCAGTCCCGACCATCCTGCATCAATAAAAGTGGACTATGATCGAACACTCCTCTATGAAGGCCCCATAGGCAGAATTTGAATCTTTCCAACCACTCTACAGATAACAAAATCCTATCAATTCTGCTCCATCATCCCCTGTCACTTGAGTTGCTCCACATGAACTGTTTACCTTGCATAGGAAGATCAAAGAGCTCCAAATCTTCAATAAACTCATTAAAAGCCCTCATCCCTCTATCCACTCTTATGCACCATTTTTCTTTCCCCTATGGACCAAATTTCATTAAAATCCCCCCCAATGCACCATGGAACACTGAATTTTGGTTTAAGATTAGACAAAACCTTCCAAACATGATTCCTCTAATCTACATCATTAGGTGCATAGATATTAATCAACATGAAAGTAAATACAGGTAAAATCGTACCTGATAGAAGGATAAAGTTTCGAGAGCAGCAACACTTGGAAAGTGAGAACACAGAAGGCTTCCAAATATACAGAATTCCCCCTGCCAGCCCAGCTGCATCAACTGACATATAATCCATGTCTTCAACTGGCCAAATACATCTAACTACCTCCAATGTGAGTTTGAATTTCTTTGTTTCTTGCAAAAATGCCGTGTCGATATTTATTTCTTTAAGTAATGTTCTAATTTTCCTCCTTTTGCTAGGTCTCCCAAGACCCCTTATATTCCAGGATAAGAGTTTCATTAAGAACAATGAGCACTCTCCAGCCTCTAAGTGGAACACCCTACACAGGTGCACCACATTCTCTACGTGCCGATTTCCTCGCATCATCTTCCTCCATCCTTATAATTTTCCTCAAGAATTCATCTTCAAATCCATCGAAGTTAATGCCCAAAGCCTTCTCCACATTAATTGTTTCCCTTGCCTCTGCCATGATAGGATCATCACTGTGTGAGCTCTGTCCTTTCGATTTTGAGCGTGAAAACACTGAAGTAGCAACTCTGAACACCGGACCTTTGACCCAGTTCTTCACAGCCGATGAACCACCACTCTGCAAGCCCTTCCTTTGAAGTCGATAATCCCTACCAATCCTCGCTCCGAATCCTTTTTGAGCTACTATGGCTTTTCTCTTGAGGATATTGGCCCTAGGATGAAGTTGACACCTACTTGGTTCTCCCCCAAAAGTGCCGACACAATCAATGGGCTGTGGATTAGAGATAAGATGGTCCAGCTCCTGGGTCTAAGAAATTTCCATTCCGTTATGGCCCTGCCCCGCAACCTCGCTATCTGAATTGGGGTTATCAATAACTTTGCCCAATTGAGACTCCTCCAGTACAACCTGAATCTTTATACCAGGCCCAGCAGTCATTGGTCCACTAAGAATTTTCATATACCCACTCGTGAAAACCCCTACGTCTTCACCTAAACTGCCCCCATCACGCTTCTGATTATTAGAGGGGCTGCCAGCCACCACATTAACTGCACATACCCCATTTCGGTTTGTGTTCCCTATATCTTTACTCATGGTTTCCACCACCAAAGATGGATCTGAAATGTTTTTCATTCCATCCACCTTATTGGACCTACCATTAACCAATTTTGTCCTTTGTATAGTTGCCACCTTGTCCACACTTGCCACATCTGTATGGATGGCAGCATCCACGTCATCATCATCTTCCTTTAGGCTATCGTCCACCTCTTCTCCCTGCTTCTCATGCATGTTAAAGCTAAGACACTCATGCATGTTGCATATACAAACCTCATTCACCACCCTGGTAATCACGATTTGCTCCTCACAGATTCGAACTAGGTAACTTTTGTCTCTGCACTTTACCTGAACAACTGTGTTAATAGGGTCCATAAAATTAGTTGCAATTCTAATTCTCCCACACCTGAATGATGTTTGATTAGAAGTTTCATCATGAATCTGGAGTACCACCCCCCATAACCTTCCGAGCTTCATAAAAGTGTCGTTGTTCCAAAGATTGAATGGCACACCATAGCAGCTTAACCATACTCCTCGTTCTTGTTCAATGTAACCATTCTGCCCCAATAAGGATACTGACTCACACCAATCCTTTAGACAATCGTGGAGTAAGGCTTGATTCTCCTTAAGATGGTCAGCTGATTTGAATGAGACTACGACCATTCTACCCCTATCTTCCTTTACTACAATATCCTTAGAACCTTTTTGAAGAACCGCTTTTTGAAACTAGGGAAAAGCTTGGAAGCATTTCAGCTTAAAAACAAGCCTATCATAAAGCCAACCATTCCCAACTTCGTTAGCATATACTACACGGCTCTCCCTCCCCCTAGAAGGATCATCAAATAAAGCTTCGGGATAAGATTTTTGACCAACAAACCCCAGTGCAGGTATTCGACCTGACGGTGGTTTAAACCGCTCCTCATTCCTTCCTTCTTTATTGATGACCACTAGGTTCTTCCTTAGAGGTTTGACAGAGTCGTCTTTCCCAAACGTTGCTACCTTGACCATAAGCTCCTTGTCGTCACACCACAACCCAATGGCCTTTTGGACCGCCATTGCGGCTGCAGCTTGGCAATCATACCTGACGAACCCGAATCTAGACTTTGTCGCTTTCTTGGTTTTATTTGGAATGAAAACATCTCTGATGACTCCAAACTTTGTAAACAGAGGATGAAGACCTTTTGGACTCATGGACCAAGGAAGGTTGTCTACAAAAACAGTAAACAACCCTGGTCTACCATCCTCATTGCTTCTAAAGAATTGTTTCCCTCTACCAGAAAGTACTGGCTTCCACTCTCCTTTCTCTCGCTCCCTCCTCTCCATCTCTGGACACAATTAATTGATACATGCTACTTTTTTTATGAGAATATCTAAACCTGCACTTCCTATCGTCGAACAGTGTGCCATCACCAAACTAGCTTCGCAAGGAGATGTCTGAAGATGTTATTCAGAAATTATAGACTTGGACAACCACCAACTAGTTGAAATGTTGCTAGTTGATGGGTGCTTCATACTCGAACTATTTTTTAGGCACTCCAATATGTACAACTATAACGACAAAGTTGCTAACCCGATTATCAGTAATGCTCGAACTGTAGCAACTCTTCAACATGATTTGGCACTACTTGAGAACCAGATTCCCTTTATTGTTTTGCAGAAGCTGTTCGACATTATAAAAGAGCATATTCCACAACCGTTATTACAATACTCATTTACTGAGCATAATCTGGCCACCTTAGCATTACTCTTTTTCAAATCGGCTTTGGGTTTGAGTGACCAAGCAATTCAAAAAAGTAAATCCTTGGAACTCTCTGGTGAGCATTTACTTCATATCTTGCACAATTTTTATCTCCCCACATCTGATGAAAGCCCTGAAAACATGCACAAATCTCACATCCCCATATCTGACAATACCAATGAAGATGGTGATCGTCAAGTCTTGCAAACAACTGGATTCAAAAATTGTGTCACATGACTTTTAGAGGTAGGAATTCAATTTCAACCCAACATCGATGTTGTCGCTGAAGAAATTTTCCTACACATAAAGTTCCTTAAGGGAGTTGTTAAAATGCCACCATTACAGATACACGAAGCTACAGAATCAATCTTTCAAAATTTGATTGCTTTTAAGCAATGTAGCATTGCCACTTCACATTGCATTGCATCATATGTCTTCCTTATGAGTAGTCTCCTCAGTTCCCAATGATCCCAATTTGCTTTGAAAAACTATCTTAACCAATGATCCAATTTGCTTTGAAAAATATAGTTTAGAGCTATATTCATGTTGTGCCTTCATTTGCAAAAGTATATGGTTCTCATTTTGGTACTGTAGGCTTAGAGAAGGGGCTTCAAAAATGAAACTAGAAATATAAGTATTCAAAAATAAAATAAAACTAGAGGCTTAGAGAAAGGGCTTCAAAAGTGAAACTAGAAATTAATGAACAAAATCATCAAAATACATATCTAAGCGAATTCAAACAGATTTGAAACAAAATCAACCCTCCCATTTGTAATAGGCCAAACCTGCCCACATCTCATTTACCTCCTACGCACATTAAACTAACATTTAATCCTAAATATCTCAAGATTGTTGACACAAAATTTAATCAATCAAGCAACCAAACAAACAGAGGAAGAAACACAAAACCCACATAATTAACCAATTAATCAACCAAACAAACAAAAACCTCAAGAAAAAAAATCCATGTTGCCTATTTTTTATTTTTTATTTTTTAAACTATATAGAATAAGTAAAACATCTTGTCATGCATGCCCTTGAAAATATATATGAAATAAAGTTCATCCAGAGCTCTTCAACAATTACATAAAAGAAAAGAAAGAAAATTGATATGAAAATTACATAAAAACTAAAGAGTTGGAAATTTGGTACCTGCCTTTGGTTATACCAATTCTCATTAACAATTGAATACAAAAGCTCTCACAACCTGAGAAGCATTAGCATTTTCAAAATATAAGAATTCTAACCACCTCCATATCCTAAGAAGAAATTTAGGGAAAATTTAAAGTCAATTGTGAATCAAGGTTACCTACTTGCCAAGCCTTCAAATTTTCCAGCAAAATAACAATGAATGTTTATGGAATCAAATGATTGAAACTTACATGTCATTCATTTTAGGATATCATATTGACAAGTATCAAATTGGAACTCTCCGGGGCTAAACCAGCTATGTCTGTAACCATTAAGAATACAAATACTACTCGTAAGCATAGCTCCATTTTAGTTCACAGATAAGTGTAGCTGATTTTTCATGTTCCTCGGAGGGGTTTAGTCTCCTCAGATACGATAGCCCTACAGTTCGAACTCCTGTGGTTTTGAATCTGGTTTCACAAGTGCAATGTGAAATAAATAAAACAAATGAGAGTCCAAATTCGACAAATCTTAGAAAATCCATTTATCATCAGAGGTGCCAAAAATAGACTGCATTGCTAGATTTTAGAGTCGCCACCTGTAGACGCGCTCCCGAGAGAACTCCCCGACATTCGCGCGCGCAGTGGGGGCGCGAATCTCATCTTGTTCTCTGAGCTACTACAGTTCGGACTCAATGTCACAGTTCTAAATCTAATCTTACAATATGCAATGTAAAACTGATAAATCACCAAAGAGTCCAAATTTGGCAAATCGTTTTAGAAAACTGATTTTTGTAAAAAAGTGCCAAACATGGACTGCTTTGCCAGATACAGAGTCGCCACCAAATATTTTATTTTTGGGGGAATTTAGGAAACCCTGACTCGTGCCGAAGGCCACGTGTCCGTCATCACCAAAGTTACCTTGGCTTGGAAACTTTGGTACGAGAGGGAAAGGTCATGCAATGAGCACCCCCCGCTCGCCCGATCAAAGATCGGCCTATACTAAGCATGATATTTTGTTTTTGAAAACACTTGTGTTCTTATTCCGGTTATTAACCTAGAATTACTATGTGATGCGCACAACATACAAGTATAGACCAGATCGCCTAAGTTGGAACAAAATATTGCATGTTCGTTTGTTTGAAAATGGTTTTGACGTTTGCTACTCGCAAGTAGGCTAAATCGAGGATTTCAATGAATTGTTCCAATTCAAGCAATCTAACCT